TCAACTATACAACCTCTCTACTTCTCTATCTATGTACAGAAAGGCGACATTTGGACTAACTTTCTTATCAAGATTGTTGTGTGTTATATAGGAAGACGTAACGAAAGATAAGATATGAATGAACTTCGCGATTTAAATTTAATGTTGCAACAATAAAAAAATGGGGTATAAGAATCGAAATCTTGTAATTTTTCTGGTATCGAAACTGATAGAAAATTACTTTCAATTTTTTTTTTTATGTTTTGTAGTCAGATGGAGTATGTAATCTTGCAATAGAAAGCAAAAGTAGGATAGCAGAGTGGTGTGTTGTCGTGTGCCAGATGGAGTAGCGAGGCCCGTCATCTGGCTAGTGGTTCCTTTCAGTAGTGTCGCGTCTGAAGGTCGAACGACTTCTCGTCAACGATATGTTGGATAAATACCTGGAAATATTACACCCAACTTATACTATGTTACACAATATTTCTATTAACTAAACAGTTGTATTGTAACTTCATTTTCCTCACTTTTCATATGTCATTTTGTTGATGTGTCAGGGCGTTTATATAACATTGAATGCAGATAAATAAATAAATAAATATATATATATATATATATATACTGTTAATTAGATCCATGAAAATAATAATAAGCTCGTCATCCCTCTCTTTGAATCTAATTTTAAGTCTATTCTATTCCTTAACAAATTGTGTAATGTTAATACCCAATAAAAGTTTAAACGTGTAAATAGTTCTATAATTCTTATGGGTAATATATATGAGTAATAATTTCTATTGTTTCATAGTATAAACATAACTTATACAATTTCCATGGTTTCCGTTCAAATACTGGTTTTCATAGCCTAAATAAATAAATTTCCATAGTATAGGCTAAGCATTTTCATGAATGGCAAAAATTCCTACACTTCCATGTATAAGCGTGTTTACATAGTTTTATAGTATAAACGTATTCGTAATTGAGAAGATTTCCATAATTTAATAATATTAACAAGAAACTTGTTTCTTTATCTACAAGCATTTATTGCTACAGGCTTTGGTATAACAATGTATTAAAATTTTAAAACTAAAACCATGTAATTTTTACTGAAATAGAATAAAAAATATCTTAATTTTATAGAAGGGATATCGATAAATTCTCACAGAAACATCTCTCTTATGGGCAGGGATGTGATTGAGTAGTTAAAGTAGTCTCACATTTTCCACGGTCTGGTCTCAAGCCCAGCTTCACCGATGCGATAAAAAAAAAAGAAAAAAAAAGAGTCTTTCACCGCAGGGAACCAAAGACCCCATCCCGAGTTTGTCACCCTCTATCTGTTACTTGAAAACAATAAAAGGATCTACCACAATCAATTTCCTTACTTTTTATCTCGGTATAAATTATCCCGCGTACTTCTTTCCACTTTGTACTCTTTTGATAGTACAGATACCAACAAATTGTAACTCTGACAATTCATCTTTTAACTATTTTCCTTTGTTTCGATCTTCTACTTCGATCTTCTTCAACATACAATGGGGACACACTTTGAAAAATAATCGTTTTATTTTTAACTGGTCGATAATAACATTATTTATTTTGTAACTCTCCATTGACAGGAAATTTGTTTCTTTAGCCATAGGCATTTATTGCCTATAGGCTTTAGTGTAAATTATATAACCAGTTGTAGATAGTAGAAATTTGAATTATCAAAACTTTGTTCCTTTCTTATAGCCTTTAGACATGACTCTCTTGAAGAGCTTCCTATGACATTATCTTCTTTTAAAGGCTTTCTTAGAAATGATTTTCATAGAAAGATTATTATTACTTATTATTTTATATACCTCGAAAAATAAAAATTAAACATATATTAGATTATAACGTCTAAAATTAAGTATCAACTGCTTGATTTACTTATTTAGAAGCGATATAAAATAATCTTTTCCAACTGGTAGGTCGCGATCCATTATTAGGGCAATGTTAACAGTTAATGTTTAAAAATTCTAAATTTTTCAGATAATTTTAAGCTAAAAAGAAAATTTTTGAATAAAGAATTTATTTTACGATTAAATTTTGATTTTAAGCCATATTTTTACTGTATTTAAAACAAAAAAAAGACGTTAAAAAAACAAATTTTTCTTCTTATTTGCTTCAATATCACGAACTGTATTTTCTTCTCAACCGGTTTTTCTTTCACGGCTCCTCTTAAATTACAATATCTCAAATAATATCGTTTAAATAAAATATATGAAAAATCGAACAATGGAAGAAGATCTACAAAAATACATAATATATATATATCTTTCGAGTCACCATTCTTATATACAGAATATTCTGATAGATTTATAGTTCGTTGAAGAAGAACAAAGCCCTCGACCGACATTAAATAATAAAAAGAAGTTTGAGAGTTTTTTTTAGAAACTAAACTTGAATATTTTACATTGAAAGCCAGTCTGATGACAAAAAAAATCTCTTTACTCCTTTTGTTATAATAACTAGTTGAGTAAAGTTTTAGATGAACAAAGATAAGTTAATAATTGAACTGAATCTATTATTAGCTCTTACTCGTCTGTATCACTGGTTTTTGCCATTTATTAATATACAAATTCATCTAAACATTACAGAAATTTTTTATCATTTAACTCACTAAATTCATTTCTTACTTACCAAGTTAAAATAGTTGTACAATTCTAAAAAATTTACTTATAATTTAGGAATTTCGGGTGTTAATTTTATTATACAATAAATAATTAATATTGAGTATATTTTTAAGAATACGAAACAAAGAAATTAAGGAAAGCTTTTTTTTGTTTTATATTATTAACATATTAAATTCATTTTTAATACAATAACCCTCATAAAATGAACATAAAGACTATGAATTTTAAAATGAAATCGGGTTAAAATAATTGTCAAAAATTGAATTATAATTAAAGGATTTCAGGAGTTAATTTTGTTATGCAATCAGTAATTAGTATCGAGTATTATGTTTGAAGAATACGAAACAAAGGGTCCAATGCAAAGCGTATTACCCTTTGGTACCATCTTGCGATATGTTGGATAGTTCTCGATGAGAGATGTAAGTCAATAAAAGAGTTAGATAAAAAAGAATTTTTGGCTTGGTTTGTCGTTAGGCGCCACGCGCCTCCAACTGATAATTTCAAGTGAATACAAAGTACAAAATTGTGATAATTTTCGATCACTTTCTGCATGATAAGGAACTTCCAGCAAATGCTTTTCCGTGTAAACTACCTTGAAGAGTTAAGATTGTAAATTTCGAGTGGGCCACAAAGGTGACGAATCGAATTAAGTAAAGAGCACAATGGAATATATCTTCGATTGTTAAATAAATAAAGTTTTATAGATTTATTTTTTAATATTAAACGCTAAAATGAGCAGAGAAGACCGAAAAAAGTACATATAGCGCCCTCTAACGACAAGATCCAAAATCACAAAAGTTAACTTTTTAGTAGTATTTTTTGTGGAAATTTTAAATTTTTTTGATGTTCTGATTGGTTAATATCGAATCTAATTATTCAAACTTGAAGAATTTAATTAAGTTTTTAGTTTCTATGCAATTTTTCCTAAGAATCTCTATTAAAATTTTTTTGATATACTCTTTTTTGATTTGATATCATATAATAGTTATTTTTTCTTAATTTTTAAAGAAAGAAAAATCAAAAAACAATTAGCTAACATAAAAGAGGAGGAACCAATTATTAATTCAAAAAAGGGGTAGAAGTTTTTGGTGAAAGAAGAATAGGTGTTGGGGGCTAACAAAGTGGGAGAGCATCTGTTAAAAAATATCATCCACTTTCAAAAAAAGTATGGAAGAGATAAGATAAAAATCAGTATTTTTATGATCGATTATATTTACTAAAATATTAATTCAAATGTTCCCTTCTTTTATTAAAATCCTTTCTCAAAAACGGCTTTTGATGCGAAAACCGTTGATAGGTAATTAAGAAGTTTATAATTATTTATCGATTCGGCTTATGATTTTGTTGCATGTTAAAGCCCATAGGCTTAGATTGATTGAAAAGATAATAATAAAGAATTTCCATGAAGATTTTTCATTCTCTAAAGCATACATATTCAGAAATCGCCCCCTCTTAAAGGGGTTTTCGCCTTCGTTAGGTTGAAATGAAGTTGTTTAGTTCGTTACACCATCTCCCCTGTAACTAGTTACCTCGTTACATGCGAGTTACTCGGTTAATTTTTCAGTGAAATCAGTTATTCTCATCCCTTACCTCCACAGTTGTCTTATCTATGTTCTGATTATGCCAAGTCGTATCCACGTGCAGAAAACAAACACCAGTGTCTACCACCTGGACATTCTGCTATTCTCCATCAACTTTGTCAACATAGAACGACGATAACAACTGTTTGTAGAACGCTGTTGGATGCTGTGTCAAGATTGGGGTGATTAGGCCTCTTGGTCTGTCCCAATCACTCGTACTCCTCTTTGTTGTTTTAAACACAACCATTTAACCCTAAGGCTACAATTCTGACTCGTCCTTAGGCTAAAAAAAAATAATACAAAATTTAAAAATTCCATTTTATTATTAAAAATTTGTTAGAAGAATGCATTGATATTTATCAAGAAATTGTTAATTTATTATTATTCATTATAATTAATCTTGAGCAAGTTTTAATCATTAATCTATGCCTGTAAAATTCGAGTTTAATCAAATCTCTCTTCACTCGATTAAGAGGTATTGAAAATGATAATAAAAAAGGGGACATAAAAAAAGCGCAATCATCATCACAGATAATAAAAAAGTTCTCGAGTTTGAAACATTTTCTTTGACATCTCCTGCGAGTCTTTAGGCCTTTATGGGTTCTCGTGTCACCAAAACTAGTCTCCTGTCAGAAAGGCCAATCCTATCCTGAGGGGGTGTCCTTCGACAGCTCGAGATGCAGAGGCTCGTGCTGGTCGCGTGCCTATTGCTGGCATCAGTCCAGCTTCTGTATGACGTTACGGTAAACACGAATCGTCAAGTAGCAACGATAATAATAAGAGAAACAGCTAATAACTTCTCTTTATCTCTATCTCATTGATAGGAAAGTTGGCGGTTCGATCCCTTCAAAAATCTAATTATTATTGGTTAAGTTTCAATATAAGATCGTCTGCCATATTTAAAAAAAAATTCGTAAGATTCGATAGGCTTTCGTACCCGATTATTAGTTGTTTTTTTGTTCTAAGCGACTAGCTCGGAGCGTACACCCTGCAGGCCTCTCTGTCTCCCGACAGGGACACAATGAGCCCTGCCTGGAGGTGGGGCCTAGTATTCATGAGCTAGAGCTTTTTAACGTCGTACTCCCCGGGGCACCGAGCATTTGACTGGCATCACCAGTCCTAGACAGACGTGCTATCTCGCTCGGGTGTGTGTTGTGTCACGTGTCACACTTGGCACGAGCCAAGCTCTATGACTTCGAATCGCAGGGATCTCGAGAAACTCTCTGAAGTTAATAAGATGTCACTCAAGTGTTTAAGTAAAGAATCCAACGGACCTGAACTTCTTCGTTGCAAGAGAAGGATTCAGTTCAGTCAACTGGCTTACAGTTTGCCTCAAACACAACCAGCAGCGGTGGCTAGACGTAACGAACGCGAGAGGAACAGGGTGAGAATGGTTAATTTGGGCTTCGCTACCCTCAGACAACACGTCCCACACGGAGCTAAAAACAAGAAAATGAGTAAAGTGGAAACGCTGAAGTCTGCGGTGGAATATATCAAACAGTTACAGCAGCTTTTGACGGAACAAGACGGAACAGGGTCGACCAGTTCGGGTGACGAGAACATCTATCCTGGATACAGCGACCATCTGCCATCCACGCCATACACGCCGTCCTCCGCTGCTGCAACTGTTACATCTCCTACGTATTCTGGCACGAGTTCTCCGACGCCAAGTCTCAGCTCGGGTGCCTCATCTCCCTATAACTCTTTCGGACCAGAAGACGAGGAACTTTTAGAATTTGCAACGTGGTTTTCATAAAGAAGACTTCAGAAAAAACACACACACAGATATATACACAGGTAAGTCGGGATTTTCTGATTAAAATCAATATCTCTCGACTAGAAAGATAGGCTATAATAGATGGGACTGCAACAAATCCTTTCTCTTTACAAAAGTAGCCCTGCAACTTCTTCCTTCCTTTTCAATATTCCCCCCTCTATCTCCCGTGAAAAGACTTCAATTTAAAGGGTCTCTCTATACACGAGACGGGGAGCCCCGTCTGCTCAATGTCCCTACTACCTGCTTGGGCGGTTGACAATAGGTCCTGCTCCAGCCGAGGCACTTGTTTATCTTTGTCCAGTTCACACAATAGGATTGGATGGTAGTTCCTCGCGATTGTTCTCCTTCCTTTCCTGACTTGGGACAGGTTTGCTTCAACACTCCCCTGACTAGGGAGATCTTTCTCCCCGGTCTACTTACCCCACTTTATACAAAACCTACGGGGGCTAAAGAAGACTAGAAAGATTGGGTCGGTAATGTAATATCGAAGCAAGTTTTAAAAAAAATGAGTTTTTTTTAGATTAAAAAATTTTTTAAAATTTTCTTTCTGTTTCTAGGTTCTCCATCACGTGACACGAACCATTGGTGTGGTGTCTACATTTCCGTTACACGAACCAACGGATGTTATAAAGAACAACGGATGAATGATTTCTCGTTTACGTTTTCGTGTGTTCTACAATTTTCTCTGTTTTGTGCACAGAAAATTCGGGTATATATATATATATATAAATATATATTTTATTTATACGAAAAATTAATAAATTTATGAACATTCCACTTGAAATTCTTAACGAATCACAATTAAATTCACGGATAATCCCTCATGTAATTTATAAATTTACCACTTTACTGTTTAAAGAACCAGTTCCTGAGTCGACATCTAAAAAGTTTTCTCCAAAAAGAAAAAAAAATCACCAAATTGTCTATAATAGTTATCAAATAAAATAATAAAAGTGATATATATATATATAGATAAATATATAAATTATATATATTTTTAATATGCACATAATTATTGTTATCATGTTGAATATTAATAATCAGAATGTGCCTTTTTTATTAAATTTTTTGCGATTTTTAACTTTAAAAATACCGATTTAAATTAGACTTTTGATGAGTCTAAATCTAAAAAAAAACATGTTTTGTAAATAGAATTTTTTTAATCATAATATAGAATATTTGTTATAACCTATTTATGTACGAAGAAGAATTAAATAAAGTTTTGTATTATATTGTATTTATTCTTTTGTCTTAATTCAATTTTTGAGTTAAAATTATCATAAAAAATATAATTTTTATTAATTCATGGAGCTTTTACTTTTTTTATTCGTATATTTTGGTCCTGAAATTGCCCAAAAAATTTAGCGAATTTATAAATGTTTTTTTTTAAGATATTTGTCATTATAAACGGTTAGATGCTCGGACGGATGCTTTAATTTCATTTATTTTTACTACAAAATGTGTCCAAAAAGTTTAGTGAATTAATTTTAAATGTTTTTCGAGACATTTATAATTAAAAAATCGAACAGACACACGAAAGGATTTGTGTTTTATTTAAATCGTTTATTTTGCTCTCTAAAATTATCCAAATGATTATTGAAATATTCGATATTTTAAACAGATAGACAAACAGGTGACATTACGATCTTTAAACAGTAAGTTATATCTGATCTGGAAAATATTGAAAAAATTTAGCAAATCCATCCTAGTTTTCGAGATATTTATAGGTTTAAACGAACAGACAAACGGACGGATGCTTTCATAAGCTTCACATCACTAAAAGTGAATTATTTATATTAAATCTATATTCCTTGTATATATTTTATATAAACTAGTCTATAAATTTAAATATATAAGTGTTAATTTATATTAAAACAACTTTAATTAGCTTATTTATCTACACTTTTTATTTCTTTTCTAAGTTGTTTAAAGATGTAAAACACTTATTTTATATTCTTATAAAGGAGAATTTATGTTAAAGATGCGTTAAAAATTATCAAAAAAATGAAAAAATAAGATAGAAGACAATGTTCAAAGTAGAATTATGCTACTCATGTTCAAGACGAGTAGCGAAGGCCTCACGTTAAAGTCATTGGCACACGTTGAGAATGCATAATGAGGAACGTACACGGGGTCTTAATTACTACACGTACAATAAGGAATTTTTCTGATGATACAGTTACTTAAATAAGAGTCATACCTTTTTAATATATAATAATAATTTACTTACAAGTCAATTATGAGTTTTTAGAATAGAAAAAAGTGTAAGAGAGCACAGGAAGATGATTCTGAAAAAAAAAACTACCCCTTCGCTTGAATACATTGAATTAAATGGAAGAAGAATTAAAAAGCATCAAATAAAAATTAAAGTAATCTTGACAAAAACTTAATTTATATCCTAAATGACAGGTAACAAGTGTTTAAGTTGTCATGAAGTTAATCAAAATCATAAAAGATCTTTTATATAAACCGAGACGTGTAGAATGATAATTGTATTTAGATTTTTTTAGATGAATTTTTTTAACTTGTTAGAAACGGGGATTACGACATTAGTTTTCTGAGTGATTTGAATGTATTTTAGAGGAAAAGTCGAAAAATCCCACCGTGAAAAGCACACTTAAAAGGTAATGGACAAGTAAAAGTAGTCTGGGACAAACACCTTCCTTCCGGTTTAAAGCAAGGTGCAAACAGCTTCTGTACTTCACCCTCTATTCTCACGCAAACGTTAATTATCTAAAAACTATTTAAAATACAGTATACAATTCATATATACCAATTTTTAATTACAACATATATAAAAGTTTATTTCGATTTTTTATAAAGTATACACTTAATTTTTAAAATATTTTTAAAAAATTTAGCAANTTAATTATAATTAAAATAAGATGATTGCAATTACTTACAGGATTATAATAATAATAATTATTTTTTTTTTTGCGTAAAAGACTTAATTTAGGTCAAAAATATTTAAAAATGGAAGTTTTCTATTGAAAAAGATTCAAATCAAACTATTCTAAATATTAAAATTATTATTATTATTTAATTTTTTAACTAATTTAATTTTATGTTATATTCAGTTAAACAACTTTAAATGTTAAATATTTTGTATAAACAATAAAATTATGACTTATTTACTTATATTAAACTTCAAATACGTCCACCCAAGTTCACGTATACACAAAATATAGGACTATTAATAATCATTAATGGTTAAATTATTCTTAATTTTATATAAAAAAAAATCTACTATAAAATGTAAGTAAATTTAAATTTTATAAATAATTAGTTTAGTTTTTATTTAATTAAAATTTCTCAAATTTGATAACTGTAAAAGAGAAGTATACCAGAAACTATTGTATAACAGGAGGGACTTTCAAAGTTTTTGGAAATTTATTTAAATAAATTAATGCTTAATTTAATTTAATTTTTTAAATTATATGAAAATATTATAAAATTTAAATAAATTTAAAATGTTTGTAGATAAAATAATGTTATTTTTATATTACTTTATATATAGCCTATGTATTTGAAGTAGCAAATGAGAAGAGCAACTTCTAAAAACGTATTCATGAATTTCTCGATGAAACCAATAAATTTAATGTAATTAAAATATAAGTTTTACTTTTATTAAATTTACATGTAAATAAATGAATTAAAATCGTAATTATAAAGCTTAATTTACGAGTTATTTATTAGAATTACTAAAATATCAATAATTGCAAAGAAAGAGAGTAAGTTAGAACTCATTGTACTGTACAACACGAGGGACCTTCAGAGTGCCTTTGAAGATTTAGACAAATAACTAGAATATTATTATAAAATATTTTTATAAAATTAAAAAAAGATAAAAGTAATATGGAGCAATGCGGGAAGCACTCAGATCTGGAGTTATTTTCAGCAACAGATGGTTGAGGGACAGCTGATTGGTGGATGGTTTCCAATACACTTTGGCGTTGTTGTGATCGGATTTCTAATTGCTTTTCACTCTCCCTCTTTCTCCCCGCATTTTGACTACTTTCTGTGCACAAGGGACGGACCAGAGAGGCCCTCGCTGCTGAAGAGAAAAGAAAAAGAAAAAAAAACTAGCCTTTTGTCCCATGGCCACCGAAATTGCCTAGGAAATTCAATTTTGGGTGACAGATTTCTTAGTACCTTTAATTTCCGATCGATGTTTCAATCAACTCGCAAGATGTGGAGTCTCGTATGTTGTATGTGGGGTGAACTTCGTACACACATAATTATATAGAACTGTATCAATATATACACTATCAATTGCAGGTTCTTTATATTAAAGTATAAGTTTCTTTGCAGAAGAATAAACCATAATAAATATTTTTTGAAGTTGCTCAAAAACTATTCATTCTTCTTGATGTTTTTAGATTTAAAAATAATTTTATCTGTATATTTCTCACGTCAAATATATTTTTAGTTTCGATAATTAAAAAAAAAAATCTTAAATTCCTATCAAAAATTAACTCTAATCGCGGGATTTTTAATGATAAATTCCCTTCATTGGCTGGGGGTTTTATTGGAAAATTTCAATAATAATATAGGAAAGTGGCACCGAATTGGACATCGGCGGTAAGCGTATCACATTACACATGAAAAAAACTTTAGTAGAATAACGTCAACTGGCAACGGCCTCACGTACGGGGCCGAGGGGGGAGGAAATCCCGGCCGTTAGTGTAACGGCGACCAGCCATGACGGAACGTACCAAACGCACGTGCCACGAGATCCCAGTCACGTGGCACACGAACCATCTGGTGTGTCTCCCACGCACGAGTCTTCCTTTGTTGGGATTGTGAGTACGCCGGCCGCAAGTATTGTTGTGAGGATGTCTATGTAACGGCCCCAGATACTCACACATACACAGGTGGTGTCTGTCCGCCAATACGATCAACAGTGAAAGTGTTTACTTCAGAAACGCACAATAAATTGTCGTTCATTCATACGTAGTCTACCACGTGGAACCGAACGGTTGTTACCAATGATATTTTTCATTTTTCCATTCTGTTTATTGTTTGTCCGTTCGAAAGTTGTTTATATTTATTAAGTTAAAATTATACAATTCCCAATTACACCTGTGATTGAATTTATGCTTCATACAAACCTCTCTTAAGTTGTCTATTAAAAAAAGTACGAAATGTAACTATCGTTATCATTTCATTAAAGTATAAAGACTGATATACAAATATTTACTTACTTATCACTTTAATTTTATCTAGTACCTAGAAGTCTATATAAATCAGATAAAGTGATATTCATTTTTAAATTTTAAAGTTTAAAAATGAAACCAGTTTTGGTTTATTATGTAACAAATTTAGTATATTACGTGTAAATCGTGCACAACGTACAATAACGTATATAGACGCGTCGATATATGCTACAATTATTTGAATTGATAAAATAAAAATACATGTACACCCTATTATAGAACTTGTAGGGTGTATATGACTATATATGATGTATCTGCACAATCTCTCCTATACAACTCTTTGTAATTACTCTCCATATACAACAGACAAATTCTATATAAATGAATAGGACCTATCTATTCATACCTATTTATACCTTGCAGCAGAAGACATCCCCTTATATACTTTTTGATCTTTTACTATTCAAATTATACGAGTACTTTACTTTCTACAATAGAATATTTTCCACTGTGAGAAAATATAATGGTATGAATCAACAGATACATATTATTAATTAATATATATATATAGGCCTATATATATCTGCAGGACTTCCGTAAAATTCTACAGTTATAATTGCTATACTTAACAGAATAACACAATATTAATTATATAGTTATATGTGAATATCGCGCGACATTAACACAGTACATACATCCACATCACATACATCCCCCTCTTCCGGATAGCATTTCAATTGATTCTTAACTGGCAAACGGACTGTCGGG